AACACCCATATGTTTCCGTCAGAAGACAGGGGAAATGAGCCGAGATTGTCCATGCCAACTTGTTCAAATGGCGTACAGGGTGCCTCAATTGGCTGAAGTAAGCCAGCCGGCTTAACAGACGGTTGTTTTCGGTGCTGGCATTCCCGACAGCCTTTGACGTATTGTTTGACGCATGTCGAAAGTTCAGGCCAATAGTACTTCTCACTCACTCTGGCAAGTGTGCGTGAGTAACCTAGGCGGCCAGACGTGGGTTCGTCATGGCAAGCGAAAAGGATATTGTCTCGCATATCCTGACAAACTACCAGGAGGTAGGCACGGTCGTTCAAATGGGCGTTCATCTTGCATAGCACGCCGTCTCACAAGCAAAACGACGTCAACGAGCGGGAGATATATTGTAGTATGGTTGTGCTCGTGGCCCTCCAAGTGATCAATGATTGGTCAAATTTCTTTAACGTCGCGCTCTCGTCTGCTCAGGTTCGATGAGCTAGTGGCTCCTAGGAAGCCTTCCTCATCCTCTCCTCCCTGACTGAAAAGACAAAGCGGTGCGCGCGACAGTGTGTCAGCGTCTTCATGATAACGGCCGGACTTATAAATGATGGTGACGTCGAATTCCTGCAGCCGCAAGCTCCAGCCGTGCTAGTCAGTCCCGAAGGATGTTGCATGTTTGCCAACCAACAGATGGCATGGCGGTCTGTCACTGTCTTCAAGGGACGACCATAAAAGTACGGGGGAAACTTGATGATTGCCCACACTACTGCGAGGCACTCTTTCTCCGTGTACTAGAATATTCGCCTCGGCACGAGGTAGGGAGTGGCTGGCATAAGCTATGTCTCTTTCTATGCCATCTTGACGCTAAACGAGCACTGCACCGAGACCAACGTTGCAGGCGTCAGTAGCCACTTCCGTGTCAGCATCATTGCCGAAATGAGCGAGAATGGGCGCTGACCGCATGCGCTGTTGCAGTTCAGCAAACGCTGCTTGTTTCTCGTTTTCCCACACAAACGGCGTGTCGTAGCTTGTGAGGAGAGTCTGGAGTTCTGCTATCCGGGAAAAGCCGTCAATGAACATGCAATAGTAGGCACACAAACTAAGAAATCACCAGAGGGCCTTCTCATCGACAGGAGCGGGAAATTCGGCCACAGCGGCAAATTTGTCTGTATCGGGACGGACTCCTTCGGCGCTAACTACATGTCCAAGAAATTAGAGCTCCTCATAACAGAAGTGGCACTTCTGTGGCTTTAGTGTGAGGTTCGCCGATCGGATAACCTCCAGCACACTGCCCAAGCGGTGAAGATGCTGCTCGAACATGGCAGAAAATACCACCACATCGTCAAAGTAGACAAGATAAGTCTGCCACTACAGCCCTGCGAGGACAGTGTCTATCATTCGCTAGATTGTTGCCGACACTGAACACAAGCCAAAAGGAAGCACTGAGAATTGGTAGAGACCATCTGTAGTCACGAAGGCTGTTTTCTCGTGGTTTCGCTCATCTACCTCAGAATACCAACTTTCATATCCAGAGAAGAGATATATTGGGCATGGCGAAGTCTATCCAACGAGTCGTTGATATGTGGATAGTGGCTACACGTCCTTTCGGTCACGTTGTTAGGCTTCCAGTAGTGGACGGAAAAGCTTAGTGTCCCGTTTTTTTCTACTTAACCAGGACAACCTGAGCCGACAATGGGCTGTTGGATGGTTAGATGACACCATCTTCAAGCACCTCTCGGGTTTGCGTACGTATCACTTCGCGTTCTTTTACCTACACGTGGTAAGGATGCTCGTTGATTTGGCGTGCGTCGTCGTGCGTGATTATTTTGTGCTGTGTGATGGATGTCTGGCGCACCTTAGAGAAACTTGCGAAGCAGGACCGGAATTCAAACAAGAGCAGTGCGCAGTGCAGTCTGGTTCCTGGTCGACAGCACATGATTCGTGTCGATATTACCGAATGCCGTGTCTGTGGCGTCGGTGGCCTCTGACGCAAAACAGTTGCCAATTTCTTCCTATTTCGCTAGCAAAAGTGATTGAAGTGTCGCGGAAGAGGCGTGGTTACTCGTTGCTAAAATTGGTAACAAGCAACTGCGATCGGCTACTACGTAGCTGTATGACAGTTCTGGCTACACAAATGTCTTGTTTTTCAGAAGGTTCTCCGAGTTCGTTTCGGCCACTGCTATGCCATCGTACAAATTGCAGCATGTGACGTCGACCATGACACTCTCTCGAGGAGGACACATGACGCTGTCTGCAGAAACTCGAAGTACGTCGAGATGCCGTTCGTAATCCTGTTCATCAGTTGCTCGGTCGGGTCAGCTGAAAACATGACACGACGCTCTTGCAGGTCAATAATAGCGCCATACTCTTGAATATTGTCAACTCTAAGAATAACGTCATGGGAGCAGTCGCGTAGGACAAGGCATCTAGCGACAATCGTATATCCTTGGATCTGAACTGATACCGGTGGAGTAACATCATGGCCGCCAGCCATTCGAATCTGTGAGTAGTGCCATGACTTGATTACTTTTTTGAGAGTAGCACGTATGCGCACGTATGTAAGCCGGCAGAGTTTTTTCGTTCTTCAGTAAAGAGCTTTATCACGTCTTTTCTCTGCTTTTTATATTGCGAGAATATGTTTGCTCCTTTGTAGGTAAAATTATTGTCACACTCACACAAATAAATAAAAAAACAAGCTGGTTATACATTGTTCCTACTTCTGCGTACCAACTTTGTTTTTGATGTCATTCTAAATTGTTTCTAATTTGTATTGACCCCTCTTGCACAATGCTTCTGCGAGGCCTGTAGGGTATCTAAATAAATAAAATAAATGAATAAATAATGAAATAAGGCATACTGGTGTAAACTTGAAGCTATTGCAGTCTGACTGCTTGACAGTGAGAACATACGCGAATGTGCAAGACACGTTTTGAAAAGCGACAACAACAAAATAGTGTGGCATTACAACCTCCGAATTGGGAATTCAGGTATACGAGATTGTCATTGAAATTTAGAGTCTGATCCTCTGGTTTTCTAGTAGAGAAATATCCATATTTTTGCCAGGGCCTGTGTCGTATTGTGTGGCTTGCTACGTGTGCTTCGCTGTTTGAAGCATGATCTTAATTAATATTGTCCACAGCTGTCTTATCTCTTATGGTAGTAGTGAAACAGCACTAGGTAGCAGAGTCTGACGAATTTCTATGCACACACGAATGCTAGAAATTTTTCACTTGTGGAGTTGGGACTCCCTATTTATGTTATGTGGGGTATTAGCTAAAGTGTAGTATACAATTTCATAAGCTGGCAGTATATTATGCCAGATTTGTTGGCACAATCTAACTGTATTCACTGTTTTTGTTAATTTACTTTTTGGAACAACCTCTTCTTCTGTCAAGCCGTTTGGCCTTGATGGTATAAGGAATAAATAAAAGTACATTTATTACCTGAAAAATTGCTTATTTATGCAAATAAGTGGTCTTCTTCATAAAAGCGCCAAGGATACCAGCAGTTAGGCAAAAATTTGAAAGTAAAGCCGAAGCAAGCATAGTATGAGGCTAATGCGATCACAGAATAAGTAGAACAATACATTGGAAAGTATGGTCTGCGGGTGAGTAATCAAACCAGTCTTACGGGATTTCAAGGGCGTAATAAACTAAGAAAAGAGGAAATACAAAGGTGAATTTTATGGGAAGGAACGTCCGGAAAGGATATTTCGGTTCGGTTCTGCATTTAAACACACCCCGGCAATGAAGCCCGCAAGTAAGAAAACTGGCTCCTGAAAGAGAGCGCTTGCTTGAGTGATGTTCATCGCAGCAAGAGCGTCATGTAGTAGGCGAAGCACGTCTGCTGATAACATCGGAGAGAAGATAAAGGCTGACCGCGAACCACTGTGTTCAAGGGTGCCGTCAAGTTGCGTGACTGCCTAAGTAGGGACAAATAATTGAAGGTGACATTTAAATGTAGGCCACCTCCGTTCAGACGGTGTAGGGATGACGCGCAATACCTTTAAGCATCAGCTGGTTTAAGTAACGATTTCGTTGTTGCTATGACAAGTGGAGAACAAAGCCGTTATAAATGATCCAGTCGTCCGTCATTCCCTTTATTTCCACATGATTACGAAACACTACCAAGTACGCGCGCTTCATGCCGATTTACCCAAGGTCATGCCTAACTCCCACAAGTAAATAATGATAGTCGTGGAGCACACACACACACACACACACACACACACACACACACACACACACACACACACACATATATATATATATATATATATATATATATATATATATATATATATATATATATATATATATATATATATATATATATATATATATATATATATATATATATATATATGGGTGTGCGTGTGCGGGCGTATTTACAGTCATGCCGAATATGATTTACTGTAATGGTCATACTACAAGTAGCCCATCAGCTACTCGACTCCAACATATCACTAAATTTTGAAATGTGAACACTTTCTATTGTATCATTTATAAATTAACATTTGCCGAAGTGTGGCCCCTTCAACTATGGACATAATGCTGCAAGTTCTGTTAAGCATCACTCTACGGCAGTTTGTTACGGACTTGAATACTGATGTTCCGTGCAAATCAGAAGACGTCATAAGATGGAGATTAGTGCGCCGTTACGCTTTCGTAATCGCTGGGAATTCTGCAAAATAAGAAAGGCATATAACGAAGGTAGCGGGGACTCACCACGATTCTTATGAATTGAAGGCACGTTTCTGGAGACGCAGCAGGAGATAAACATAACTGCAGGCCAAGCTGGAATCCTGTCTCTTAAGTGCTCTTGCCAAAATAAGTATAGAGGGGAAACTATTTTACGTGTAGAATAGCCTACGTTTTTTTTCTACATTTGAACGAGTTGTTCCATAGCCGGACTCAGGCTCCCGTCATCACTCTCTTTTTCTGTTCGGTTTTTTATAGGCGTTACTTCTAGCTGGAGGAGGAGTATAAAAAGGCTTCCCATCGGCGTACACTTCAGCAGTTCAATTTAAACTCCACAGTTGTGGAACTTGCAGCAACCATGGTCGTCGTAAGTACACATGTTCATTTACTTATTATGTTTAACTGACCAAAGTTCCTGGAAGAAAAACTGGATGAACTACTTCCCCCAGAACATCAATAATGGACTTAAACAACAGCTTCAGAAACAGCCGAGTCGCGTAGAACCTAGTACAGGGTAAAATAGCGTGAGTACTTCGTGAGAAATGTGACTCCAGCATAATATTGCGTCATTATTTTACGAGATTGTGGGGGATTACATGCATGAATTAGGATGCTTTCGCTATTGAGTTGGTGGATCTACTGAAATAAAATGCAGTGTTAAGGCTGTAAATGGCCCGTCTGCGTAATTTCAGGTATATTGTGGTTTTCTGCACCAAAACCATGGTATGCTTTCTGGCCACGCTATAGTCACACGTTGTGCACCATATGTCGTTCAACTATGGTATGCTTCTAAATATTCGAACGAGTACCTTGGTACATTATTCCATAAACGAAACAGTACGCCTCCACTAAGAAGCAGTTCGCTAATTTTTCCAGAGGCAAAAACGTGGCAGCAGTTGAGCTAACATGGTGACCTATTTTATTTAATCTATAGATATTGGCATCTTAAAAGGAAATTGTCATTTGTTACTACTTCATAAATATTTTCGTCCAAGAAGACTGGATCATTGCTGTACCTTTTAGGACATGCTGGCATTCTGTTTTTTTAAATTGCTACACAAAGTGTACATACACGAAATTGCATTTTCATGCCTTCCTTCAGTTCCGTGCCAGCCTTATCCTGGCTCTGTTTGCCAGCGCCCTCAGCCACCCTGAGGTCACGACTGGTGCTGGCCTGAGCCAGGGCACTGCTGTGGGAGCTTCCTACGTTGCTGCTGCCCCAGCTGTCACCCGTGTCGACACCTACCACTCTGCTCCAGCAGTCGCCACCGTCCAGGCCGCTGCCCCAGCTGTCACCCGTGTCGACACCTACCATGCTGCCCCAGCCGTCGCCACCGTTCAGGCTGCTGCCCCGGTCGTTGCTGCTGCTCCAGCTGCCACCGTCACTAAGGTGGACACTTACCATGCTGCCCCAGCTGTTGCTACTGTCCAGGCTGCCCCAGCAGTCGCCACTGTCCAGGCGGCCCCGGCCGTCGCAACTGTTCATGCTGCCCCAGCTGTGGCTACCTACGCTGCTGCTCCAGCTATCACCACCTACGCTGCTGCCCCAGCTGTCACCAAGTTTGCCACTATCCAGGCTGCCGCCCCAGTCGTTGCCGCCGCTCCAGCTGTGACCCGCGTTGACACTTACCACGCCGCCCCAGCCGTCACCAAGTTCGCCACTATCCAAGCTGCCACCCCAGTCGTTGCCGCCGCTCCAGCTGTGACCCGCGTTGACACTTACCACGCCGCCCCAGCCGTCACCAAGTTCGCCACCATCCAGGCTCCCGCCCCAGTTGTTGCCGCCGCTCCAGCCGTGACCCGCGTTGACACTTACCACGCCGCCCCAGCCGTCACCAAGTTCGCCACCATCCAGGCTCCCGCCCCAGTCGTTGCCACCGCTCCAGCCGTGACCCGCGTTGACACTTACCACACTGCCCCAGCAGTCGCCACTGTTGCCCACGCCGCTCCAGTCGTCGCTGCCGCCCCGGCTGTGACCCGTGTTGACACTTACCACACTGCCCCAGCTGTCGCCACTGTTGCCCAGGCCGCTCCAGTCGTGGCTGCTACCCCAGCTGTTGCCACCGTTGCCCACGCTGCTCCTGTCGTCGCTGCCGCCCCAGCTGTGACCCGTGTTGACACTTACCACACTGCCCCAGCTGTCGCTACTGTTGCCCACGCTGCTCCAGTCGTTGCTGCCGCTCCAGCTGTGGCTACCGTGTCCCACGCCGTCCATGCTGTTCCAGCGGTCGCCACTGTCCAGGCTGCTCCACTCGTTGCCGCCACTCCTGTCTACAGCTATGGTGTCGGAAGCCTCAATTACGGCGTCGGTCACTTTGGTTACGGACACGGCCTTGGAGCCTACGGACTGAACTATGCCTATGGTCTCGGCACTCCAATCGACTATTCCAACCTTCTCCTCCGCAAAAAGAAGTGTAAGTACTCCCTTTATATTCTCTATCTCCTATATTTTTAAAGCACTGTTGAAGTAAATAGTTACTCTGCAGCACATATACAAAGTGACAATTTCAAACCTGGCGGCACATGGTACTACATCTAAAATGCATTGCTGTTTAAATCAATACAATTTAAACTGAACAAGGAATGATGCGTGCCAGTTTCATTACATAAATTGTATTGTGGCCGCATTGAGTATGAAATGAAAAACTTAAAGGCGGACCTGCAAGTGCCTAATGAGGACATGCAATTAATCCTATTTCCTACCAGTGATGTCAACAGTGAGACAGGCATGTTAGCCGGAGTGATGTTAGGTTAATGATCGTTCACATTATGTAATACTCAGTTTTATGTATTAAGTATATATCTGACGAAAATTCCCTCAAATACAGCAAAGTCTACTAGAGAAAAACATTACACACAGTCGGCGGCATATTTACCAGTTGTGTCACATTCTCGCGTTCAATGTCTAAATAGGGGCTGCATAAATATGTCCTAAATGTATCATTGTGTACCTAACACATGTCGTGTTTCTGCCATTGCTTACGTAATCGCATGGTTTCACTCTCTTTTTTCAGAAACAACTCCTGAAATTCATGACTGCTCTGAAGATACCAACATTCCTCAAGTCGTTATTTTTAATAAAGTAACATTTGAGGGAAAACTACCTTTGCTTTCTTGTGTGTTTTACGAAGACAGTCACCGTATTGAACTATATAACGATGAATATATTGCCTTAGACAGGCTGGTTGGCACTTCAGTCGGTTGACATATGTCTGCCCAAGCTTATGATAATCCTTCGCCATTTATTTCAACCACATGAACTTTATTTTCCAGCACTTGTTTTTATTAACAACGTGCAGAAACTCTGAAATTTTCTAACTGAAAAAGCTAACTTTTAGTGGCTTGCATTTAACGCTAGCTAAACGTACAATCAACATAATTTTTGAGGAGATAACAACGAGAATTTTCGGTGAAGCATTCGCATTTTTGCCGCTTTTGATTAAGGTAACTTCTAAAGTTGTAAATGAAACGCTACAGAACTTTCTTTTACGGAGCCTTCTCATCACCCCAGCCGAAATTAAAGCGTGAAAAAGGCAATTTTGATCTTGTGTCAGCGCAACGTCTTCAGTATTTCAATGTAAATGTAAACTTGCCCTTCTCAACGGTAGACATCAGTCCGCCGTAGTTCAGGATGTGGTCGTGATGCGACACTGCTTGCGTCACAGGTCCGTCCGAGTGCTTTCCCCCGGAGATGTGATAGATGTGCCTCCCACTCCAATATCATACGGCTCTGAGATTTGTTCCTTCAAGCTGCTTCTTTGTAGATCGAAGCAATGACACCGCCACATCACAGCGTTTTTTTAAGTCAGCGCATGCGGTAGCGTTGCAGTGATGCTTCGCCATTGGTTGCCCACATGATGCCACGAATTGTGACACACTAACTCAAAACACCGTACACATACAGAGCCAGCGTGACCGCCATGATTGTGAGCACGAGAAGTACACGCGTAGCACCTAACTACAAATGACTATAACCCGACGTGACAGCTGCATCATAGGAGCACACATGTGGAATGTGTATACAGTTTGATACCCAGCCCTGCAACCACAATTGACGTTTCGCGAACATTAGGGTCACTTATTAGTTCTGAGCCCTGGCGTGGCTCAGTGGTAGAATGCTTGATTGCCACGCAAAATGTTGCAGTGTGATCCATGGTGCGACCCTAAAATTTATTTCTTGCATTCGTCGGATTACGCTTCCGATGTCAGGTTTTTCTTTACGCTGGCGCGTTCAAACAATTCATGTATGTTCTGTACTCGGCAATAACTTTTCTCGGAACTGATGGGAAAGCTATGGAGGTAGAGCTTCTGCACACGTAGCATTACGCGAAGAAGTCCGTTTTGGTGCGCGTCTCGTAACGCCGTCAAAAGTGTGGGGGCGCATCATCGGCGTTTGATGTAGACGCAGACGCCACTTAGCGTTTTAGGTGCACGTAAGAAGGTGGGACTTTTCCACGCGTTCAACAACGCGAAGTCACAACAGATAGATGAAAAAATGGCAGCATATCCACGGAGTGAATGATGGAGAGTGGGGCGAAGCATTCGTCTGTCCATGCGTCCGTCTGTGTGACCGTCCATGCGTCTGTTCGTGCGCCCTGTCCCTGCGTTCGTTCATGCATCCGCCCCTGCGTCCGTTCATGCGTCCATCCATGCATCTGTCTGTGCTGTCCGTTCGTCCATCTATTTAACACTCCAAGTCCCACCATCTCACATCTTTTTATCATATATTCCCCATATAGAAGCACCGCCATTCAGTGGACATTCCAAGGACTAAACGAGAGGTGGCACACGCACACTTTCTTACGGCTTGCGCTTCGGGTCTACTTCCCACCTTCAACCACCTTGAGTTCATGGTATAGACTAGTTCACTGTATTCATGGCACTGCGGCCCAATGGTCGCTAAACCTTTCTAAAACCAAGGAGGTAACGCCCAGCGAGTATAACGTAGCAACCTTTTCCTGTCAGACAGTGCTCAATGTACATGCCAGTGGCTGCTAATGTGAAATGAGAGACAGGAGGATTCAGCTTTTAATTTCTTACGGCTTGCGCTTCGTATCTGCTTCCCCCCTTTAACCACCTCGAATTCATTCATGGTATATACTAGTTCATTGTATTCATGGCCCTGGGAAAATCACCATTGGATTTGACAGCGTATCGCCCTATTGCCCTCGCAAGCTGCCTCGGAAAAGTGATGGAAAGAATGGTTCTATTTCGTCTCGAGTGGTACTTGGAACGATACACCAAATACCCTTCTTGCATGGCAGGCTTTCGCCGACGCCGCTCCTCCATTGACTCTGTCCTTAACTTATCGACATTTGTTCAACAAGAAAAAAGTCGCAAGCGCATATCAGTGGCACTCTTTCTTGACGTGAAGGGTGCATATGATAATGTAGCTCACGATGCCATCCTCACTTCTCTCGCAGCAATGGGCATTGGAGGACGAATGTTTCAATAGATGAAAGATTATATAACTGGCAGGAGTTTCTTTGTACAAACATATGAGGGTACAACTGCCCAACATTACACCTACTGCGGAGTACCTCAGGGAGGTGTTGTAAGCCCCACATTGTTCAATGTGGCCCTCATTGATCTGGTGAAGGCTCTGCCAAAGTCGGTGTGCCTATCTATATACGCCGATGATATTTGTCTCTCGAGTGCTGCAGTTACTCGCCCTCAGGTGCGTGCACGAATACAGCGGGCAGTAACCCTCACAACAGCCTACCTTCAGAAAGAAGGCCTAAATATATCAACTGTGAAATGCGCGTTGGTGGCGTTTACACGCAAACCAATGACGTCATACCCTGTTTACATCAATGGGCAGAGTATCAAATATGCACGGACGCATCGTTTCCTGGGCATAATAGTCGACAGAAGTCTTCCGTGGAGCCCACATTGTGCGTACTTGAAGAAGAGACTGCTATCTATTGTGCATATCATGAAATTCTTGTGCGGTAAAGCATGGGGAACTTCTGTGGCCTCGATGCTACAGCTGTACAGGGCCATATTTCTGGGTCTATCGCGCTACAGCTTGCCGGTACTGACTAACACTTGCAAATCGAATACTCATTCATTGGAGAGTTTGCAGGGTCAGGCACTGCGTGTCTGCCTAGGACTGCCCCGATGCGCTTTAACTTATGCCACAATCATGCTTGCCAAAGACCATCCGGTCAGGACATATATAGTTGTGGATTGCCTCAGAGCGCACATTCGAGATGCTAGCCGTGTTCCCGACCACCACTTAATTGGCCCTTCTACCTTCCGGAAGACCACGTGCTTCTAAACAAGGAGCTTGGCCCGTAATAAATACGAATATCTATCTTGTGTAAGCTGCGTCCTGTCTCCAGTAGCTTCAGGTATAAAATAAAGGAGAGGGAGAGATCTAGACTTTATTATTTCCGGCAGATTGCTGGGATGCCGCTCCCCCTTGGGACCAACGGAGAGACCAAGCCTCCCGGCAGCTTTCTTGGCCTGCTGGATCGCCCAAAGTTCTTTGTCCAGGCCTGAACTGAGCACCGCAGTCCGCCAACGCGCCCGAAGGTCTTCATTGGAGGATGCGACCCCAACATTTCTGACTAATGCTGAAAATTCTCATAGGATATGGTCAAGAGTGACCCTGGTGGTACAGTACTGGCAGAGATAAAAACTATAGACGTCGGAATATATGTGATGCATGATGACAGTGTTCGTGTATGTGTGTGTTTGTAGCTGTCGCCACTGAACAGACTCCGCCCGACTTAGCTTGGGGTGAGGCGGAGGGTACTCTGGCTTTTGGAGTCAATAGTGTTGAGTTATGTTATTAAATTTAGTGAGCCGGTCGTTCCATTCCCACTCTGGCGCAGAAAAGTCCGTTTGGGTGGCCGCTTCATCTGACATGACTCGGAACGCAAGACCTCAGGCCACGTTGTGCGCCGCTTTATTCAGATTGTCCTCCGATTCACCAAGTGGTGTGTGGGCAGAAAACCACAGGATGTGCACGTATATGTAATCTCGTGAATTTTGCCTGTACTAAGAATCCGCAATGCCTCGGGGGAGATTCTGCCGCTGGCGTAGTTTCGAACGGCTGTCTGCAAGTCGCTGATTACACATGAGGCGTTAGTGTGGGCTATGGCCATCGCGATAGTCACTTCCTCTGCCGTTTCTACATTCCATGTGATGATTGACGCACTGCTTTTGCATTGTTGTATGTGGTCTACGACAGCAGCCACGAAGCGGTGACGTTCTTGGTAGCATGCTGCATCGACAAAGACTGCCTCATGGTTGCACCCAAACATCTTTGACATGGCTCTGGCTCTACTGACACGTCTGCCCTTGTTCTCTTCAGGGTGCATGTTTCTTTGGTATGAATGGTACTGTGAGCTCGGCACGGATAGCACGCGGTATGTCGTGTTTGTCTCTGTGTTGATTGTGGTAAGAAATACTGAGATTACACTAGAGTCTGGCAACCTGGCCTAATCTTGGCTAATCGCTTGAATTGGGAGATTTGTTGTGCCACAATAAGTTCCTCAAGGGTATTGTGTAAACCAAGTTGAAGAAGGTGTTCGGTGCTGGTGTTTTGAGACAAACCTAGCGCTAGTTTGTAAATTCTCCTAATTAGGCTGTTGAGTTTTGAGTTTACTGCAGTGAACTATCGGTGGCACGCCACTGTATAAGTGATGTGACCTAAAACGATTGATTGGATCAAATGGAGGATGATAGCCTCTTTTATGCCTTTGTGATTATCGGTAATGCGCCTTATGAGGCGCATCGTGTTAGACACTCTGGCTTCAATGTTGCGAACTGTCTCTCTATTGGTACCATTACTTTCTATAATTACACCTAGCACTCGGATTTTATCCACGGTTCGTATCGTGTGACCGTCACTTGTAGTGAGTTTGTGAGTTTTGTATCAGCGTGTGTCTACGCTTGGGGATGTTTGGGTGGCTGACCTCTAAGTGTAGGGAGATATAGCAGTAGCTGAGATTTCTCCGCCTATCAGGATTTTACAAAGAACTGGACTATCAGGATAGTCCAGTTCTTTGTAAACACCGTTCCACTGTGTCAATACCTTCCTGCAATCTCTGTTTAATGGAACCGTCATTGCCATCGCACAGCCAGAGGGTGATG